TCCCAGAATTCCTCAGCCAGCCTGGGTCAGCTTGGAAACCTTTCCCTTCCCTCAGCATGGCTGGCTCAGGAATTCTGGGAGTTGAAGTCCACCAGTCATAAAAGAGCCGAGGTTGCCTGCCCCTGGTGTATTCCAAGCCTGGATGGGCAGCCAAATGTCTCTCAAACTAGCAACAAAAATTAGCCCAGTTGCAAGGATTCAAACTTCAGACAACTTCAGACAACCTTCAGACCTGGGTGACTGAGAATCTTCATCGACATTTCTAATCATTCCTCAGCTAAAACAGACTAAAAAATGCCCCCCCCCCAAAAAAACTGGGCTTGATTCCTGGCGATGAGTTTTCTTTAGCAAGAATGTAGAAGGGATTTATAATAATAATAATAGTAATAATAATAGTAATAAAAGTTGGAAGGGACCTTGGAGGTCATTTAGTCCAACCCCCTGCTCAGGCAGGAAACCCTAGACCATTTCGGACAAATGGCTGTCCAGTCTCTTCTTAAAGACTTCCAGTGTTGGAGCATTTACTGCTTCTGGAGGCAGGTAGTTCCACTGGTTAATTGTTTCTCCTTAGTTCCAGGTTGCTTCTCATCTTGGTCAGTTTCCACCCGTTGCTTCTTGTCCTGCCTTCAGGCGCTTTGGAGAATAGCTTGACTCCCTCTTCTTTGGGGCAGCCCCTGAGATACTCGAACACTGCTATCATGTTCTAATTGTTCTTGTTTCCAAAATGCTATTCTGACTGCTTGGTCCAGCCCATCACCCCAATTCTTCAGCCTTCTGAGATCACCCAAAGCTGACCAAGCACAGGTTCACACGTAGCAGGCGGCTACATTAACCAGATCCTCAAATCTGGTATTTCCACGGTCTCCCCCTTCCGTGCCAATAGGGAATTCTGGGAGCCAAAATCCAGCATGTTTGGATTTTGCACCAGTTATATAGAAAGGTAATACAGACATATGTGAGAAAATAATTTTCATTCCTCTTTCAGCAGGGTTTCCTGACCCACCCTAAGTTTAGATAAATTCAGTCAAAGATTTCATTTCTGCAGATGTTTGTTATTCCTGGTTTTAATCTGAACAGTTCGATAAACTCTCTTTTACTGCTATGTTTTCCTCTTGTAAAGACTTTTTTATTTTTTTTTAAAAGCCTTTCTTTATAGACAACGATTGTTTGTTCTTAAGCAAAGGAAACTATTTTAAATTGCATGCCATGTTTTTCTTTTTCTTCTTCCCTTAACAATCAAGCTGGTTTTATTTATGTTTACTGTGTGGTCTCTCTGCCTTATATGCTTGCATAGTCGGAATACTGTTATTCCCATTATGGATAATCTCCATATTCTGGTCACATTTTGTCATGCAATTTTTTCCCCTTTGCTGTCCCGAAATTTTTGGCAGCACTCATAAAACACTAAGGAATGTGCAAAGTGAGTTTAGCATGAATTTAAATATACTATTTTATTTGGAGAAGCTATACTGTGCTATGCTGTGTTCTTTGGTGGGGGGACTTTTAGCATGTATAACCTCAAGCTTTTCCACAAATTTGAAAAGTGACTCAATAACCTTTTTTTAAAAAAGATTTTCTTATCTTAATTTTGGGAAAAATCAATTAAACATATCCAGTGTCTCCCATTTGCACCTATTTGGTACTAATTCAATTGTTTCTTAGTGCACCTTGCTAAAACATGCTGCTTGGATATTGACCAAATCTGGACCACATTTTTTGGATCTGACTAAAAGATGTTGAGAGTTTGGAAAAAATTCAGAGAAGAGCAATTAAGATGATCAAAGGCCTGGAGGCTAAAACATAAGAAGAACGGCTGCGGGACTTGGGTTTGGCCAGTCTAAAGAAAAGAAGAAATAGGGGAGACAGGATAGCAGCGTTCCAGTATTTGAGGGGCTGCCACAAGAAAGAGGAGGGGGTCAAACTATTCTCCAAAGCACCAGAGGGCAGGACGAGAAACAATGGTTGGAAACTGATCAAAGAGAGAAGCAACCTGGAATTAAGGAGAAACTTCCTGACAGGGAGGATAATTGACCAGTGGAACAGCTGGCCACCAGAAATCATGGGTGCTCCGTCACTGGAAGTTTTTAAGAAGAGACTGGACAGTCACCTGTCTGAGATGGTATAGATTCTCCTGCTTAAGCGGGAGGCTGGATTAGAAGACCTCCAAGGTCCCTTCCAGTTCTATTCTATTCTATTCTATTCTATTCTATTCTATTCTATTCTATTCTATTCTATTCTATTCTATTCTATTCTATTCTATTCTTATTCTAATAGAACAATTCCATAAGACTAAGAGCAAGACCAACGAAACCATTGATGTGAGATTTGCCTAATATGTTTTCAGTTCCTTTTGACTTTATCTCTTGAAAGAAGCACAAGCACTCTACAGCTGAGGTCTCCAACCTGTTTGGCACCAGGGACTGGTTTTGCGGAAGATAATTTTTCCACGGAATAGGAGAGGGGACAGGAGGAGCGTGCAATATATATATGCTGCACAGACACAGTTTCACTCATCCACCCTCACCTCCAGCTATGCAGCCCGGTTCCTAAGAGGCCATAGACAGTACCGGTGCACAGCCCGGGGATTGGGGACCCCTGCTCTAGGGGCTTCAAAAAATTAAAAAAAGAGTGTCCAATTGGGGTTGAAATATAGCCAATTAGCCTCCGCCAAGTCTTATATTCAAACCACTAGGTCAGGGGCAGGCAACCTTGGCTCTTTTATGACTGGTGGACTTCAACTCCCAGAATTCCTGAGCCAGCCCTGCTGAGGGGAGAGGGAGAGGCTTCCCAGCTGAGCCAGGCTGGCTCAGGAATTCTGGGAGTTGAAGTCCACCAGTCATAAAGGAGCCAAGGTTGCCTACTCCTGCACTAGTCAATCAAGTTGCAACCACGATTATAGTTTCAGTTGACTAAGAAAAGAACAAAAAATGCAGACAGGCCTTCTGTTTTGTTTCCCTACACTAGTCTCCTTTTGATGTTATACACATGCAGGGCTCCTACTAACCCTGCCTCATCTGAATGTTGCTCTTTGCTTATTTGGCATTCTTATCATCAAAATTTTACCCCCCCCCAAAATGGCTCAGAAAAATCAGGGTCCTAGCTAAGGGCCTCCGTGTGTCTGGTGACAGGAAGTGGGGGGGGGGTGAGTTCTTCTTACACACACATCTGAGTAGGGAAATATTTAATTATAGTGAGCCATGTGGAAATGGAAGACGTTATACTGTGGGTTTCTTTTCCCCTGCAGGTGGCAATCGGTCGGAGTGAAGAAGTACATGACACGACTGCTTTGGGGAAGGAAAGGAAGCTGCTATTATTAGCAACGATGCTTTCTGAGTAGATTGTAGGGGTGCAGTTCGGTCTAGTGGTTAAAGCACCAAGCTAAACTGGGAAATCATGAGTTCTAACCCTGCCTTATCTACAAAAGCGAGCTGGGTGACTTTGGGCCAGTCTCTCTCTCTCATCCCAATCCACTGTGCTTCTGGTGGAAAAAAACACTGGAGGAAGAAGGAGTATTACTGGGATCTTCAAACTGGGCTCTTTTATGACTTGTGGACTTCAACTCCCAGAATTCCTCAGCCAGGCATGTGTGCCTGGCTGAGGAATTCTGGGAGTTGAAGTCCACAATTCATAAAAGGGCCCAGTTTAAAGGCCCCTGGCCTAGATGAAGCGTGCCTGGCTGAGGAATTCTCAGAGTTGAAGTCCACCAGTCATAAAAGGGCCCAGTTTGAAGGCCCCTGGCCTAGATGAAGCGTGCCTGGCTGAGGAATTCTGGGAGCTGAAGTCCACAAGTCATAAAAGGGCCCAGTTTGAAGGCCCCTGGCCTAGATGAAGCGTGCCTGGCTGAGGAATTCTGGGAGTTGAAGTCCACCAGTCATAAAAGGGCCCAGTTTGAAGGCCCCTGGCCTAGATCAGGGGTTCTCAACTTTGGCAACTTTAAGACTTTATAAGCAACCCTGAGTTGCTTATAAAAATGGTAACAGTGGGATAGAAACAAATCCTGCCTTTCCAGGGGAGTGAAAATACAGACTTCCCAAATAATAATTAGTTCTCTACATGACTTGAAAATACAGAAGAGAATATCTGTGAAGTCCTTGGTGCTCTCTGAGCTTGGCTGTCCTCCTGCAGACATTTCATTACCCAAACTAGGCAACATCATCAATAACAACAGTTGGGTAATGAAATGTCTGCAAGAAAACAAGCAAGCGCAGAGGGTACCAAGGACCCATCTTGAGCCACAGGAAAGGTTCAATTCTATTCCCACCTATGCTAGTTAAATGACACAGCTGGTGTGGATGTGAAAATGAAGCTGAACTGGGAAAAGAGTGATATTTAATACAGGTCGTCCTCAAGTTACCGCAAAATTGAGCCCAAAACTGATGTTGCTAAGTGGGAAAACTGTTCAGTGAGTTTTGCCCTATTTTACGACCTTTTTTGCCACAGTTGGTGGCAAATTAGTTCTTAAATTAGTAACACAGAATGTAGTTTCACCTGATTGTCAGAACAATTAACCTGTGGAACCACCTGCCTCCAGAAGCGGTGAATGCTCCAACACTGGAAGTTTTTAAGAAGAGACTGGACAGCCATTGGTCTGAAATGGTATATTATTTCCTGCTGAGCGGGGGGTTGGACTAGATGACCTCCAAGGTCCCTTCCAACTTTATTACTACTACTACTACTACTACTACTACCATCACCACTGACTTTGCTTGTCAGAAGGTCGCAAAAGGGGAAGCACATGACTCCAGGGCATTGCAACTGTCATAAATGTGAGTCAGTGGTCAACCATCCGAATGTAAGCCAGGTGACCACGGGGGTGCTGCAACGGTTGTAAGTCATGTGACTAAATGAACTTGTTGTAAGTCCAGGACTACCTTTGTACTTACAAAGGAAATTAAACACTCCATTTCTGGGAAGAAAGAAGGTCCTGCCCACCTCTACTTTACTCAGTGTGAAAAACCACAACCGGCTTGCTTTTTTGTACGGTGTGTGGATGCTACGTGACACCAGCGGCTGCTTTGTTAGTAAAAGTTACTGGCCATCTAAAATCTGACAGCCTCCCCCCCACACACACTTTCCGCGCCTCCCACTTGCCCCCTTCGCTCATGCACAGGCCGGTCACGCGTGGCATGCAGCATGCGGTAAGTGGAGAGCGGAGGTTCACAACCTGGAAGCATAGGATCTGAGCATGTGAGAGCAAGTTAAAGTCAAGAGTTCCTCTCCGTGGTCCCCGAGGGCTGAGAAGCAACGCTCCAGCGCAGAGCAGTGGGACTGGCGGGGGAAATACAATCTGTCCAAGACACAGACGTATCTCCGCAAATGGCGGCAGGTGTAGCTGCAAGACAAGGGCAGAGGGGGGGAAAGAAAGAAAGAAAGAAACGGGAAAAAGGAACAAAGAAAAGAGGAGTTTTCCTTTAAGAGAGCTGCACCCAAACACCGTGGAAATAAAGTTCAGTGGCAGATGTCAAAGAGCAAAGCAATACTTCTTTTTAAAAAAATAAAATGAAAATGAAAATAAAAAAATGGCAAAGGCAGAAAAGGGTGGATTAATCAGCCATTTGTCTGAAATGGTATAGGCCAGGGATAGGCAACCTTGGCTCTTTCATATGACTCGTGGACTTCAACTCCCAGAATTCCTGAGGCAACGTGGCTCCTCTTGGAAACCTCTCCCTTTCCCCTCAGCATGGCTGGCTCAGGAATTCTGGGAGTTGAAGTCCATGAGTCATGAAAGAGCCAAGGTGGCCTACCCCTGCTCTAGACTCTAGGCCTAGGGTAGGAGTCTTCAAACTTGGCCCTTTTATGACTGGTGGACTCCAACTCCCAGAATTCCTCAGCCAGCATGACTCAGCTTGGAAACCTCTCCCTTTCCCCTCAGCATGGCTGGCTCAGGAATTCTGGGAGTTGAAGTCCACCAGTCATAAAAGAGCCAAGGCCGCCTGCCTCTGGGCATGGGTGACAGCCAGCAGGGCCTAGGTCAGAGATAGGTAACCTTGGCTCTTTTATGACTCATGGACTTCAACTCCCAGAATTCCTGAGCCAGTATGGGGGAACTATGGCCCCCTTCATGACTGGTGGACTTCAACTCCCAGAATTCCTGAGCCAGCCATGCTGAGGGGAAAGGGAGAAGTTTCCAAGCTGAGCCAGGCTGGCTCAGGAATTCTGGGAGTTGAAGTCTACGTGTCATAAAAGAGCCAAGGTGGCCTACCCCTGGTCTAGGGTTTCCTGCCCGAGCAGGGGGTTGGACTAGAAGACCTCCAAGGTCCCTTCCAATTCTGCAGTTCTGTTATTTTACTTTATTTTTATCATCTACGCAACCATCCAGGATGATTTCATTAGTGACGCAAAGGAGGCTGCCGGTTTTGGCAGGTTTGTAGATTTTACTTTTGGGAGGGGGGAAAAGGGGGGGGAGAAGAATCCAAACCATCTTTTCATGCAACTCAAAAAACAAGGCACTTGTTGCCAAGATGTAATACAAAATGTTATGGGAACCGTTGCGCAGTTTGTGTGTGGTTTTCCACAAGCTGTCATCTACAACTGCAGAAACAGCAAAAGCCAAATTCAGTCATCCATTCCCGCTTTCCCACCAGCTGAGAGAATCTTAGCAGTTAACAATAAGCCACGTTTGCCAGAGCGGTTAGGGAATTATGGGCTGGGGGAATCCTGTAGTCCGTGGATCATATAGCCGGCATGGCTTCTGGAGGGTTTGTCTTGTTTTACAGCAAATTCCGCTGTCTTTATATCTCCTAAAAAGAAGCTTCGCGATAAAGGTTATTCAGACACGAAGTTTTACTTCATTCGACTTTGTGCTTTGCTCCAATTAGGCTGGATCTCACCTCCACAACCCTGAGCCAATGCATCAAATTGAAAATTCATTTATATCATCATCATCATCATCATCATCATCATCATCATCATCATCATCATAGGTAGGCAAAATGCCAAATCGAGTCTGAACATCTGGCTGACTGTGCAATGATCCATAATAATAATAATAATAATAAAAGTTGGAAGGGATCTTGGAGGTCATCTAGTTCAACCCCCTGCTCAGACAGGAAACCCTGTACCATTTCAGACAAATGGCTGTCCAGTCTCTTCTTAAAAACTTCCAGTGTTGGAGCATTCACTGCTTCTGGAGGCAGGTGGTTCCACTGGTTAATTGTTCTCACTGTCAGGAAGTTTCTCCTTAGTTGGAGAATAGCTTGACTCCCTCTTCTTTGGAGCAGCCCCTGAGATATTGGAAGGCTGCTATCCTGTCCCCCCTCGTCCTTCTCTTCGTTAAACCAGACATCCCCAATTCCAGCAACCGTTTCTTTATATGTTTTAGCCTCCAGTCCACTGATCCTCTTTGTTGCTCTTCTCTGTACTGAAATATTTCATATTTCTTAACTGCCCGTCTCTCTCGGAGTATTCGATTCCCCTCAACAAGCATATCAGGGTCAAAACATCCATCTGAACTTAGAGCAAGGTGATCTTGACGCAGACGCCTCCCGTTGTTGAGTTCAACGGGGACACATTTTAAGCTCAAGTGGAGGTGTGTCCTCACCCCAAGTTCTGGGAATATCAGGGACAATTTCAGTTCCAAAGGAAGGATTTCCTCTAGCTCAGCTTTTCAATTTCAGGAAAAAGGGAAAAGAGTCGCATTTCTAGTAACAAAGTGGAAGGTTGCATGGAAACACTTTGGTGGAAAACACGACGATGGGGAACAGAGTCTGAGGCACGACACGGATATCCTGTTCCTTTCCTGGTAGCCTTTCCCCTCGTGACACCTGATTTTTGTAAATATATTAATTTAATTTTGATCCTAATTTAAAGGAATGATGATATATTAAGACTGCATTTGGAAACACTCCTCCCTTTCTTCCTTGTCCAAAACTGTTGGTAATACGGCATCTTCCGCTGCCAAAACATTTGCAACGCTCTTTTGGTGCCCCCACGAAAAATAATCACAAGATTAATATGTACCCTCATGGCTGTGTTTCCTCACCTTGGCCAACTGAAGGTGAATGGACTTCAACTCCCAGAATCCTCTGCCACGGCTAGGGTGGCTGTGGGATTCTGGGACAGGAAGTCCACACACGGGTAGTCTTCAACTGAACACAATTCATTTGGTGACGGTTCAAAGTTACAAGGGCACTGAACAAAAGCGACTTAGGAATGTTTTTCACACTTATTAGCCACTGCAGCAGCCCCAGGGACACCTGATCAACCTTCAGACGCTTGGCCACTGCTTCGTATTTACAACGGATTGTGGCGTCCCAGGGTCACGCGATCCCCTTTGGCGACCTTCTGACAATTAAAGTCGAGGGAGAAGCCAGATTCACCTAACAAGCGGGTTACTAACTTAACAACTGCAGGGATTCACTTAACAACCGTGGCAAGAAAGGTCGTAAAAAGGGGCAAAACTCACTTAACAAATGTCTTGCTTAGCAATGGAAATTTTGGGCTCAGTTGTGGTCCCAAGTATGGACTAGCTGTACTTGAAGGTGAATGGATTTCAACTCCCAGAATTCTCAACAATAGCTTGGCTAGCTGTGGAATTCTGGGATATAGATATAGTCTATAGTCCATATCTATATATCTATATATCTATATTTGTATCTCCATCCATCTATCTATCTATCTATCTATCTATCTATCTATCTATCTATCTATCTATCTATCTATCTATCTATCTATCTATCTATCTATCTACCTACCTTTCTGTCTGTCTGTGTCTCGCTCTGTCTCTCTCATCTCTCTCTCATCTATCTATCTATCTATCTATCTATCTATCTATCTATCTATCTATCTATCTATCTATCTATCTATCTATCTATGTATCTATCTATCTGCCAAAAAGGCCAACACAGTGCTGGGCTGCATTAACAGAGGGATAAAATCAAGACCATGTGAAGTATTAATACCGCTTTACAATGCCTTGGTGAGGCCACACTTGGAATTCTGCATCCAGTTTTGGTCACCACAGTGTTAAAAAGATGTTGAGACTCTAGAAAGAGTACAGAGAAGAGCAACAAAGATGATTAGGGGACTGGAGGCTAAACCATATAAGGAACGGTTGCTGGAATTGGGTAGGTCTAGTTTAACAAAGAGAAGGACAAGGGGGGACATGATAGCAGTATTCCAATATCTCAGGGGCTGCCCCAAAGAAGAGGGAGTCAAGCTATTGTCCAAAGCACCTGAAGGCAGGACAAGAAGCAACGGGTGGAAACTAACCAAGGAGAGAAGCAACCTAGAACTAAGGAGAAACTTCCTGACAGTGAGAACAATCAATCAGTGGAACAGCCTGCCTCCAGAAGCAGTAAATGCTCCAACACTGGAAGTTTTTAAGAAGAGACTGGACAGCCATTGGTCCGAAATGGTGTAGGGTTTCCTGCCTGAGCAGGGGGTTGGACTAGATGACCTCCAAAGTCCCTTCCAACTTTATTATTATTATTATTATTATTATTATTATTATTATTATTATTATTATTATTATTATTATTATTATTATGAATCATCGCACAGTCAGCCAGATGTTCAGATTGGACTTGGCATTTTGTCTACCTATCGAGTCCTTACCCAGGACCTGGGATAGGCAGATGTGGACGTTTGATGGTATTACAGATATCGTCGCAGGATGGAAGCAGTTCCTAGCAAGGCCGCCTTTTGCAATTGACTAATAGCGAATTTGTCAATGCCAATGATGGTGTTCAAGTGGTGCTCCAGTTGTTTTGGGATTGCACCCAAGGCGCCTATGACTATTGGTACTACCCTTGCTTGCTTTTGCCACAGTCTTTCTATTTCTATTTGTAGGTCTTTGTATTTTGTTATCTTCTCCAATTCTTTCTCGTCTATTCTGATATCTCCAGGCACTGCCACGTCCTCTATCTATCTATCTATCTATCTATCTATCTATCTATCTATCTATCTATCTTTATTATTATTTATTATTATTATTTTTATTATTATTATTATTATTATTATTATTATGGATCATCACACAGTCAGCCAGATGTTCAGACTGGATTTGGCATTTTGTCTACCTATCGAGTCATTATTATTATTATTATTACACACATATATATATACACACATATATACATCTCTCTCTCTCTCTCTCTCTCTCTCTCTCTTTCTCTCAATATATAGATATAGATCTATATATATAGCAGACCTGAACTCTGCCTTTGCTAAACAGTGTACGACGATCTCATTTCCAGTAGAGCTCTTTAAAATAGCCAATGAGTTTTGTTTTCCAAGAAACAAAAATATGCATTTTATTACTAAAACAGTGAAAAGGAAGTATTTAAGGTAAAAACAATAACATCTCTACAACGCAACCCCCTAAAGCAGCCA